GAGAAAAGATCAAGGGTCCATGCTGCACCGTCCAGTGGCACGCAAGGCAAGAGGCAGCAGTGTGCCAGCGTGTCGATATGTGTAATGTCGTAATGGCTGATTCCCGTGATCGCTGTCGTGACTGTCAGTGGTGCTGCTGCTGAGCACTGCTCGATTGACAGCAGCAGTACCACTGGGGGGCGGGGGCGTTACACTGGGTGGATGCTTCCACTGACATGGCAGCGACCAGGGCGATGATGGCAGTTCCATGACAGGCCGAATGACGAGGTGCTCCAAGCGCAGCCCCTCCATGACCCCACAGTCCCGCCTAGGCCCCACCTTCCCTGGATTCCGGGTCCTGTTGCTGTGCTGCATTCATCAAGGCAAGAGACGCGCTAGATAGCAACAAGGGAAAGAGCTGCCCCGCCTTCAGTACTCTTCTCGAGTCACGTGACGATACGAGAGATCCCGACGCGGTGCAATATCAAGCTTCAATGATGATCGTGAGTGAACCTGGTGGGGAGCCTCGTCTTCAAGTCATATTCGCACCCCTTTTCGAACCTCCTCACCCCTTTAGCTTCCCGTATTGCCTTTGCCATCTTCTATCCCCTCCGATTCTGAACCCAGCACCGACGGGCTACCGTCGCCACCTTCTACACGTGTCGCCGCCTCACGCGCCAGTCGCATCTCGAGGTCAGGGTTCCTCTGCTTCCATCGCTCCATGTACCATGTGCCGAACATGAGGATCGCCCACATGGTAAACTCGAAGACTGTTGCAGCAGGGTACCCGTTGGGGAACCGCGGCGCCTCGACCGTCGGGAACGTGAACAGTGGGATCCAGATCTGGTTGCAGAAGCCCAGCGTCATCATGGACGATATGATCAGTCCGCGCTCGCCGTAGTTTTCCTTGAGGGTAAAATTGACCCACGAATACTGTCTCGGTCAGCTTGATCGCTCGCCCGATTCTGTATCAGGCGAAACTGCTCACCAGGATGGGAGATGCCATGCCAGAGAAACCGCCAAAGTAGAAGGCGCAGAACTTGAGCACATCGGGCACGTTCCAGACGGATAGCACGATGAGCGCAAAGAACACAAAGGACTGGCAGACATGTCAGCAATGTCAGACGCCTACGTCGCACTGCGTCGGTTGCCACTCACAGCCTGGAATGACCAGAGCCCCCTGAGGCTGAGGCAGCCCGCCAGCGTGGTCCCTAGCCATGACGACAGAGCCCGCAGCAGATCAATAAAGGTCGGCAGGATATTGACCAGCTCGATCGAGTAGCCGGCGTGACGCAACCACAGCGCCATGTAACCGGTCCAGTAATGTGCTTGACATAGCATGCTGCCGATCATGTATTAGCCCGAATCTTGTGCGACGTTCACCAGGAACCTTACATGTAACATGGCACGCATATCCACCACATTGGCCGTGACAGCGTGTACTTGAATGTCTTCCAGGTGATTCCCTCGGTCTCAACGGTCGGGATCCGCTTGACGGCCAACGCGTGGTCCTCTGCCGTGAAGAACCACCGTCTTGGCGAGCTCGGCAGTCCGGGCCAGAATGCAAACCCCAGGAATGCTAACGGCAACGTAATGATGCCCTGCACGATGAACAGCCAACGCCAGCCCGCCCTGCCGTATACTCCGTCGAGATTTCGATAGGCCGCGGCCTGGAGATAACCCGAAAACATGGATCCGAGGGAGTTGCCCATGAACCAGACGCCGGCGCGCTTGAAGAGTTCTTCGTTTTTAAACCAGCTGCCGACTGTGGCGTGTTAGTCAAGCTATGGGCCCGAAGAGACAGAAGTGCTTACGAATCAGATGGGTGCCGCCAAAGGAGGAGGCTTCGAGGAAGCCGGTGATGGCGCGTAGGATGTAAAGATGCCAACTATGTTTGATCTCGGACTGGCAAAAGGCGATGACGGCCCAGACAATCTGCAGCGATGGAAGGAGAAATGGAGCACTGTCTAGCGTAAGCATTCAGCAATCTCCCAAGGTTCTCGGACTCCATCGCACATCTTTGCCTTGGTCTGGAGAGTCATCAGTGGGATCTGGCCCAGGACGTAGGCCGTGTTATCTTGGCTTTTGGTCAATCTCTTTGAGCGTCATTTTGCATATCGAGGGAAGACCTACAAGCAACGACATAGTAGTTCAACTCATTGCCAAAACCGCCTAGATCTTCGCGCATGCCAAAAACATAGGCATTTGGTGATATTTTGCTGTCCGAGGAACTGGGTGTCCTGTAAGCTGTGAGAACGTCTCGTACAGTCGAGGGCGTCAAGACCAACCCGGCAGAAGACTAGCCCACATGGTCAGTACATCAAGCAGAAGGCTTCATGGTCATGATAATGACTCACACTAAGGCACCCAAAGATAAGTATGGAGAGATCAAGCTTTCGAAGCAGCCTTTCTCTCCTCGATGGGGTAGTGGGACGCTATCGCGATCAGCGCCTGGAACAGCAAGCAGAGGCCATGACAACAGCGAACATACGATACCAGTCGAAGACCGACCAAACCACACCACTCACTTTGTTGCCCTTGATGGCAGATTTGATGGGCCCCATGCTTAAATCGACTCTGACGCTTGACAGAAAGTAAATGCTGTTGCGTCATCATCTGACATGAC